TGTGCGATTCTGGTAACTATATTTCCCGATGGTATATCGGGATCGAGATGTCCTCCGACAACAAGTCGGCTCTTGTGCCGCCACGGCACACTGCTGTCCAACTTCCTCTTCGCGAAGGATTTGTCCTTGTACGCGAAACGGGACGGCAACACTCGTTCGGGGCGTTCTGCAAGAATCTTTCGGGATTCTTCCAGGCTGACTGGTTCCAAGGCCTGATGCCGAAGGTGCTCTTGCCATTGCACTTCCTCTGCCGCCCGGAAAGCTGGTTTCTCTTCTTCCGGTATGCTGGACCATGGAATCTCCTTTTCCAACTGCTTCATCCTGCCACGCTCCGTGGTAGGCCTCCTCAGCATATAGGCTTCGTGAACTTCTCCGCTTGTCGAGGAAACTTCGGGCCCCTTCTTGCGCATCCTTTTGGGAACTGGTGGTCGAGCTCCGGAGGGCTGGTCGTCGGCGTTCGCGAAGACATCTCCGGGAGGTAGTTCGGGGTCTGGAGGTGGTCCTGCATCGTCTTCTCTTCGTTTTCTTCCTGGCCCTTCAGGCTGTTCTCCTATGAAGTGCCCCATGTCATCAGGATCGCCTTCCACGAGTCGAAGCAAATCATCTCGAGTGCTTCTCATCATTGTGAACGCCTCTCCGAGCTCTTCTCCCGTGGCAAGTCGCAGGTGTTCTCCGGCGCACAAGTGACACCTTCCAGCGAAGGAAACCCAGCTATTCGGCCCCTCGTTGCCGATGAGAGTGGCTGGCCCCTTCCAGACCCAATCTTTGGAAGTCTTGGGCTTCCGCAGGAAATAGACAATGTCTCCCACGCCCACGCTGCCAGGGGCCACACGGCTTCGCTGGAGAAGGGCTCTTTGGCGCATGAAGAACGCGGCCTTTGCAGCGCACCGTATGGTGTGCTCACGAGCTCGTGCCTGATCTTGAGTGAGGATGTGCTCTTCTTGCTCGGGGTTGCCATCTCCCAAAAGCTCTCCTGGGGTGACTGGATCTCGTCCCCACACTATCTGAGATGGTGAGTAGCCGCTCACCCTCCTTAACTGATTTTTAGCTGAATTGACTGCAGCCACGCACATTGGGATCTCGGAGGCGGTGGCCGAATGTTCATCGTTGACCTTGACGAACATCTCTTTCCACACACCGCCATGCCGCTCTGTGATCCCCTGTTGCCAGTGGGCCCTGCGCTGGGTCTGATTTTGTCCCAAACCACGTGGACAGGTTGCCGAAGGCGGCCTGCAAACCGGTTTCCAAGTCTACCGCCAGGGACTGCGGAGCACCGAAAACGTTGACCCAAAGCCCGACAAAGGCCTTTTCGAGCGAAGCTGCGTCATGCCCATTGACAACCGTGCACAGGTGGAAGGTCGAGGAGAAATCAACTGCCGAGAGGATGTCATGCCGGCCCCCATTCACGTCATAGATCGAGAAAATGTCGACCCCGACCGCCTGATTGAACGCAAGAAGGTTCGGCGTGCTTGAAGGTCGGGCCTGTCCACCGCGACGGTGCCTGGCGCACGTGTCGCAGGAGAGGGATTTGGCTGCAGCCACCACACTTGCGTCAGCTCCAGCAAGTCTAAGATGACGTGCCAATTCGTGAGAGTCCGGATGGCCCACATTTTGATGAAGTCGACGCAAAGCAGATGCGACTTCAGGTTTGACCCCATCCTTGAACTTGATTCCTCTGGCTCCATGTCTTTCGTCTCCATGTCCTCGTTCACCTGATTCATGCCTGACGGCGCACACTGTCTGTTCCAGATGGCGACCAGGATCACGTCCTCCACTGCCACGGGCACTATGTTGCCGATGTCCTCCTTCCTCACCAGTGTCTCCGCACACTCGATGTTCACGACGTTCTTCGTCGCGGCCATCTTGGTCTGCATGTTCTGGTCCACTCGATTCGTGCCGGACGGCACACGCCACCTGTTCCAGATGGCGACCAGGATCACGTCCTCCACTGCCATGGGCGTTATGTTGCTGATGTCCTTCTTCCTCACCAGTGTCTCCGCACACTCGATGTTCACGAGGTTCTTCGTGATGGTCCTCATGGTCCTTCTTGTCCTCCTGAGGTGGTGGGCCACAACGTCCACCTTCGCGTCCTTTTCCTTCAGCGAGGGATTCCTCTTCGTCCAGGCGGCGGTCATGACCTTGTTCGTGTCCGTTTTCTTCGCCAAGCCAAACGACCGCACTGTCTTCCGAGCATGTCCATCGGGCCGACGCATGGGTCCGCAACTCATCCATGTCCTTGAGGGCCCAGAGCTCGTCATCGATGTTGGCCTCGATCGCCGCTCTTCTGCCTGATCCAACTTGCTCCCAGATCAGGTCACGGAATCGTCCGACACAATCTTGAAGAGCTCCTCCGTGGATCCAAACCGTCGAAGGTCGTAGTTCTCGTACAGCTTGCTTGGCCATTCTCCTCAAGGAGGTCCTCGCGCTGTAAAGGCTCTATGAACTGATAATCACCCTCAATGGCTTCGATCGTCTTCTGCGTGCCGCCGAGCTCAAAGAGGGCAGTGGTCCTCAGGCTTTCGTCGCACCCGGTTGTGGCCATCGAGCTTGCCGCCAAAATCGACCACGTAGCCAAGGCTCCAACTCGTTTGGCGTTCTTCCACAAAGTTCGCCTCGTACTGCGCCTCGGTGGTCGCATCTTCGAGTCGACCTCGCCGGTCGTTCTTTCTTGTACAAGAGGAAAGCCATAGCTCCGGAGGGACTCCTTCAAACACTTGGACGCATTGACAAGGCTGCGCCCAGTATACATAGTCAGGCACCATCGCGTTCCACTCCATGGCTCGTACAATGTGGCTGACGGGCATCAAAAACGAAAGGGGTCTCCTTGGTCGAGACGTATGTGCCGGGAAGTCTCTTCCCTGTCCGGTCCACCTGCCAAACTTCTTCTCCTTGAAGCTCCTGGTGGTCTCCTTTGCTGACCCACAATCTTCCTCCAGAAAAGTCTCCGAAGGTGACCGTGATGCTCTCGGTGCCGCGCATGTTGTGATGATCGGTGTGGACGGTTGTCTGGATGTTCTTGCCCAGATAGAAAGAGGTCCATCCACTATGTCCAGCTCTCGAAAGAAGCCATTGAGGTACCGGCAGACGTTCGGGTATAGGATCGTCCCCTTCGTGATGCCGTGCTTGCCGCCGAACTGCCAAAGTCCCCCTATGAAGGCGAACTCGTTGTCAGCCAACTTTCCATCCTTTTTGTGACGACGATGACGATGTTTCGCCGCGTCGATGCGATTGGCGATCTTTGCCAGGGTGGTGAAGGAGAAGTCGTTCCGGCTCAAAGCCATTCGGGCGGCCTCCTCCGCATCATTGGTGTTATCCTGGTCTGCCTCGTGCTCGAGCAACACGTGGTCCACGACCTCTCGAATTTCGCTGGTGATACACTCGCCCTCGTGGAAGACGTTGTCGAGAGCTTCAGCAATCTCAGCGCAGAAGCCAGGTTGATATGCTCCTGCCGCCTTGGCCCGTGACCCGCCTCCAGCAGGTAGAGAACCAACCACGTGTTGGTGGACATGTCCTCCTGGGCATTTCCTGTGGAGCAACGGGACCAACTCCTCATAGGTGACCTTGAGGCATGTCCTCTTCTGTATGGGGGTGTCGATCCCCTCGTCGTTGGGCAAGGTGCTGCCGAAAGCACATTGGTCAAGATCAACATTGTGTCCACCAAGTCCTTTGAAAGCCGGCGTTTTCCAAGCCGATGACGTCCAAGGATGTTCGACAACTCCGATTTTCTTCCGCTTCATCTGCCCTCTGTACAGCCTCCTCGTCATTGAGAGGTTCGTGCGGTGGTCGTAGCTCCTCCTTGTCCACAAGACCTCGAGCGCCCCAAGATCCTTGTTCCAAGTCTGCAAAGGCGACCATAACGTGCATGGAGGTGCAATCCACACGATATCAGGGGCCTCCTCAATGTAAAGTTGCCACAGACGGCGTCGATGGCTGAGGAGTTCGAATTTCCACTCCGGGAAGTCGAAGCGCCTCGCCTTGTAGCCGAGCTTTTCCATGGCATCGGCAAGCCCGCCCTTGGCGGCGTACACCTCCCGCCGAACATGGTCTCCATCGCAGAACAGGTAGCTCTCCGCTTCCTCATCCTCGAAGACCTCTGTGGGGTAGGCCTGGAATGCCTTCGGCTCGGTCTCGTGGTTGCCACCGAGGTCGGGAAACTCCAGGGCATCGTGGTACTCATCGTCGAAGGCGTCGTAGAAGATCTCGTCCTCGCCATGTGGCGCACCGGTTCTCAGTCCTGTCGAGGAGGGATTCCATGCTGCTGCTTCAGCATTGCCAATCTCGCCTCCAAATCGTAGATCTCCTTCTTGGCCATCTCGTCCGGCTCCAGCTCCATGCGCCGGCTGTCCGCGTTGGCATGGGTTGCCATGCGTCTCGTCGTGGTCCTGTCCGGGTCCTCGATCTTTCCCTTGCCCTTGGCCACCGGCATGTGCGGCGCATCCTTGTTCTTCTGGTAGCCTCGCCTTGTCGTGGTCGCTACCGCCGCCGAGCTCGAAGCCGCCGCAATCGACACCTTGACCACTCCGATGCCGTGTCCGAGCTTCCCGGGAAAGGCGCCATCGAATTGATCTCCGGCTCCATCCAGTACGGGACTTCCTTCTTGGGGGACTCCTTCGCCTTGAACTTGGCCCGACCGTAGTTCGCCAACTTGCGAAGGTCCTCGAAGGCATTGCTGTTCCGGGACGTCTCCTCGATACTCTACTGGAGATATTGCTCCGGGACTTCTCTGCAGAGCCATCCTCGGTATCGTCCAAAGGGAACGATCATCCCGTCGGCGTTCTCCACCTCCGCACGCACCAGTCGCATGAGGAGTCCACGTGTCGCTTTCTCGGGCACCACTATGCCGTGCTGCTCCGCCAAGGTCCTGAGTTGTGCCAACGTCATTGACCCGATGCCCTTCAAGTTGGCCTCGGGGCTCTGGGAATCCATGTTGGCCCGGTGCTCCCGCACCACCGATCGAATTTCCTCGAGGTTCCACGTGGGGAGGACTGGGAGTCCTTCCCTCATAGCTTCCTCCAACAGCTCCGTCTTGTTCATGCTCCATAGCTTCGTCGGCCGAGGTGGGGTGCGCGGAGGCTGTTCCATGATCACTGCAAGGAGAGGGTGTAGGGCCGTGTAGGGAGTGGCACCATAGGTCTCCTAGAGAAAACTGCCCGGCCGATCCAAAGCACCGGATACGAACCATATTCATCTTGCTTCCAGGGTCCGCGGACCGGAGTAAGAGCCCTGTGAGATCCACAAGCTATGCCCCAAGTGCTTCTAAGTAGCCCGAGATTCTCAAGGAGAATGTCTTTGTGCGCCTGATTCGGGGTGCTCCATGCCAAGGGATTGAAGAAAGTTCGACGAGGAACAACATGTACTCTTATGACGTTTTGCTTGGTCTCAATCCAGAAGTCCTGACTGAGGTTCGTGTCCTTCCACCAAAGAGAGAACGAGTGATCACACAAAAGCCCGTCATAGTCAACATGTTGTGGACTGCCATAGAAATTTTCTTGGGGTAGAAGATCCTTGTATCGATGCTACCTACCGTGTCATTGACATGCTCCCCACTGTTGTTGGACTGCGGCTGAGCTTGCAACGTGAACGCCTCATGTGCAGCATCGTATTGCGGACTCAGCGGAACGATCTGAATCTCAGAAACCTCGGCGTTCCACTGATGGGGCTGCTCAGGGTGAACCTTGGTAGTTGACGGGACCAGAGCGATCGCTGGATGTCCTGTCTCGGTCACCAAAATGGCAAAAGCCTTCAGGCTGAGGGCCGTAAAATCAGCAACGTTGTGCGCTACATCGAAGATCATCCCCATAGCTCCTAGGCTAGGCTTGCTCAGAAGGAGAGGAACATCACCCTCTACAATGGCAGTCTTGACGAAAATCACATACTTGCCCAAAGTGAACCCGATCACCACAGAGAAGCACGACTCAAAGACCTTAGAGGCACCAAACTTAAACTTCTCGATCCCGTTGATGAAGACAGGTTTGCCGCCCTTCTTGTCGAGGACCTGGAGGTAACGTTCCAGCCATGGTGCCCCAGCAACGGATCTGGAGCAAGCCGTATCGGTGATGGCCATGAGGTCCTCCGAAATCCTTTCATTGAGATCCCAAGTGACATGGACCACATGGCACTGAAAGAATTCTTGATTCCTTGCCCATTGCCAGAGCCGCTTGTCGCCGCCGTGGTGGAAGTCGCCGTGCCGCCACCATTCTTGGCCTGGTTGAGGGGGCACTCTGCATCACGATGCCAGTGTCCTTTCCTCTTGCATCCTGCGCAAAAGCTGCGTGCCTTTGCCAATCTCAGCTTCTCCTCCGAGATCTTCTTGAGATTAGCAGCGTCCGTGCCCCTTGCCTTGGCCAGGTCTCTGTACTTTGCCTTCGCGGTTTCGTGAGTCATGTAGGCCTCGTAGAGCTCCTCGGCCACCTCCTCAGGGACCGGCGCATCGTCGTCGTCGCCCTCCTGGTCATCGTAGTTGCCGTCGGGGAAGTCGTTCTCCTCGCCAAAGTCGGTGTGGAAGACGTTTCGGGTCCTGTTCTTCCACCACTCTCCTTTGTTATTCTTGCCAGAGCCCTTGCCTCCGTTCTCCCAAGGCTTCCTGAGGGCCCTGTCTTGAACAATGGCGGCCCGCTGAAGAGGACGGAGGTCGTAGATGTTGCCCACCGAAGCCAGTAAGTTGAGCTCCGCCGATTCTTCCAGCTGCATCCGGTCGACAAACACCCATGCTGCCGCAATGTCAGGAAGAGAACAGCCAGCCTCAACGAGACGAGCATGAGCACGATCGAACTCCCCGACATAGTCGCGAATGGCCTGCCCTGGCTTCTTTCGCAGGCGCCTGAAGAACTCCGAAAGGCTCCGTCCAACTTGAGTGACCTGCGCATCGAGGTAGCGGTCTCTCACCCATTGCATAAAGTACTCCACGCCATCGTCGGTCGCAAGCTTGTCCAGGTCCAAGTTCTCCGCCTCTACCCAGGCCTTGCTCGAGAGGTGCTGGTAGAGGACCAATGCTTGCTTATCCTTCGCCAGCCGTGTCATCTTTCTCCAGGCAGTGACCTGCCTCAAGTACGATCTTGCCGAGGTGCCGAGATCGCCATCCTCGTGGTCCACATCGCCCGTGAAGCTTGGCACGACAAGTCTTTCCGAAGGACCTTTGCCGTCCCTCGGCAGGGCCGTCGAAGGTCCGGTGAATCGTGTAGAAGAAGGAGTCGTGAAAGGTGCCGTAGGGGTCGGAGTACTGGCCGCCGCCGCGCCATCGCCAGCGCCGTGGCCTTCGCCTGATCCATGGTCATCAGGATCTTCGCCTTCCTTCGCGGCAGGCTCGCCACTGCCTGCTGTAGCATCCCAGCTACTTCGCCTCCAGCCATCATCACGGCCAGCGCCGCTCCAGGTAGAGCCTTGCCAACTCCAATCACTCCAGTCATTCCAGGCAGATCTTCCCCAGTAACTATCCCAATTCCATGTGCTCGACCTACCCCACGAATGGTCGCCATTCGTCCCTGCCGGAGTCGCATGAACATTGGGCTGAGGTTTTCCTTCTCCCGAAGACATCGAAGTGAGAGGGCTGCGGCGAACTTGCCGACTCACTAGATTCGCTGCCGGGCCCTTCAGGTGCCGAAACACCCTTGCCGTAGAAAGAGGAACTGAAAGTCGTAGCCATGGCTACACGAATCTATCCTGCTACAGCTGGAGCCCCCGGGGATACCGAAGGCTCCGCTACCAATCTAAAACAAAGAAAGGCGCACAAGCCTTTTTGCACACGAAGCTTGAACCCTTGTGCCTCCGGCGGTGAGCTCGTCTATGATGCTCAGACCTTCACAGAATTACA